GGGTATTGCGTAAGAATTTTGAGTCTTCAAAATTCTGTAATACTGTAATATTCTTTGGAAAGTTTGGAAAGTATTATGAATAAAATAAGATTAAACTTTAAAATTGCAAAAAAAACCCATAACCTTAAGCATTTGTAGTTTGTTACTTAAATGCTGACCTACTGTTAAAAAAAATCAAAGCATTGAAACATACATTAATATTATTTAATTATTTGTGTATGCATATATTTTGTTGTTAATTGTGTTATGGGGCTATTAAGTACAGTGTAAAATATTTGATAAGTAAAATAAAAAATGAACATGCTCGCAATTGATGCAATTCAAAGTTATTGAAATGTGTTTTAAATAGCAAAACCATTTGATTTCTAATTTGTTTCAGTGTTCTTTGGAGCCAAGAAACTTGCGTTACCGGATTTCGGATGCTGCGCTCTCTCTCTATCTCCCTCTCTTAATCGCAAGCCATCCCGCTTGCACCAGCAGACGATCCCATATACGAACATAGAAAACTTTGGCTTTAGATATTAGTTTTAAGTTTTTCAGCTTCGCACCTCACTCTGTCTTTGCCGGCAAACTCCTATTGATTTCGCTTTGAACAGCAAATTCATTGCTTTGGAATGTATTCGATGTTTTCAGTGTTTTTTCTTTTTGGTTGTGTTTTGTTTGTGTGTTAGCCGCCGTTGCAAACTGGAAATTCTTCGGGGTCCGTTGGAGTTGACCCAAAAATAAAAGCGGTTTCGAGGAGACTGCAACTGATTGCCGCCTTATCAGTGGACAAAAGGGAGGGCGGCTACAACGCGGCAAGGGGGATTCTGGGTTGCGTATACGCCCCTTGGAATGCAGCACAGTGCAGTTCAAACTGTTATTCAATTGGCTGCGGATTCTGTGATGTGTGCGCTCGAAATAGGTCAGCATTTGATTGATTTAGTATGCGCACAATAATGTTGCCTTTGTGCAGTCATTTTAGTTTTCTTTTAACCAGTAATTGGATTTACTTGAGAGCTACTTGTGAAGGATTCATTGGTCTGTTACATGGCCTAGACAGTTATGAAAATATTTCTCTTTTTTGATTTTTAATTTTTAATAAACCCATAGTCATTTTTAATAAATTTTATGTTCATTAACCTAATTGGCTTTTTAAAGTTTATTCAATTTATTCTTTCGGTATCCGGGCATAAGGATCTTCATTATTTCAATTAAATGTCTATTATATGTTTAGTATTTTTAGCTACTAATGTACTTATGTAAATTTAAAGCTGAATTTAATTGATTTAACTGTAAAAGGTAATTGCATTTTTCATTACTTTAAACACCTTCTTGACACGCTCTTAATTGATGAATTAAGTACCTAATACCCTAAGAACAATGTTTAATTTGTGTATGCCAAGCTTATGAGAATTAGTTAATCAATAAAAGGAAATATAACATGTTTATGTTTGAAGTAGGTCAACAATTCATTGATTAGTACACACACAACAATGCATATTTTATGCGTAAGCTATGCTTTTATTCAGCTACCGATTAAAGCATTAAATTTAACATTCAAAAATATTGTCAGACATAAACAAGTGCATTTTAACATCCATTTTTAAAATGACAAATCTTAACTCTTCCTCCTCATTGATCTTAGTTCTTAGCTCTTGCAGGAAATATCACCGGTAATAAGTTGCTCAGTCCGGTTTAAGATCATTCATAACACTCATAATGCTGCCATTTTAATGAGTGGCATAGCATAATGAATGTAACTTTTGGTATGTGGGTCCCATAAAATGTGTATTTTTTCGCCACTTTTATGTTTTTTTGACAGTTGATTTCCACTTTCGACAAAACTTGTTTCGTTTTGAGGTTAGTTTTCTTTACTGTCTGTTTGGCTGTTTGTGTGTTTCTTGCTGTTGTTGCTGTTGTTGTTTCTTGTTTAGCCGCTTTTTATGGCAACAACAACACGTGGCCCACAACGCAGGCCAAACTGTAAGCAGCTTTTATTTCTATAGCCCATCTCCCTTGCTCTGCCATCTCGTGGCATCTGAGCGTCTCGCTTTCGCATTGTCTATTTTGCAGTAATTTCCAGTTGGCTGAATTCGGTGGGAGGCAAAAAGTTGAGGAGGCTGTGAAAGAGAGAGAGCGCGAGGAAAAGGAAGGAAGGAAGGGGGAAAAGAGAGAGCGAGAGCGGGTCTTATAACTCCCACCATTTCCATTCCCAAATGCTTTTTGCTGGCCACTTTGATGGTCCATGGGGGATTTTGTATCTGTATCTACATGTGTCGGCCCTCCAAACTATTTGCCCTCACTTTTTGCACTCTCACGCCCACAAAAAACAAAACTAAATAAAAAAAAAAAGTCAGCGAAAAAAATCACACAAAAAAACAAGTATTATAAGAGCAAACACCGCACTCATCGCCGTGTTAATGGGTTAAACTGAAGTTTTGCCCATAATAATAAAGCGACAAAAAACTTTCCGTGATGCGAAACGGAATTATTTTGCCGGTGCTGGCGGTTACAGTCGAACATCCAGAACTCGAACCTTCCTAGTCCTAAGTTTTTGCAAACTGCAAGATTTTACACAGGGAAAATTGCATTACGTGCTAATGGCATTCATGAAACTGATTTGGATTTGGTTTAATTTTGCTTTAGAGATGCTAAAGAGTTGTTATGGCTTTGCATTTGAATTGGATTTGCTTTTTCAAAGTTGCTTGGAATATACGTTAGATTTGATCCGAAGATGAATAAAAAATGGATTTAAATTTACTTTTAGTTTTCCTTATATATGACTTAGTTTTGATTAACATAATGATTGTTATTGATATAATTGATACTTCTTAAAGTTTCTAAACCATATAAGCTTAATGTTTTTTTATTTTCAAATTGCCAAAACGTAAACAAAACCAGAAATATACCTAACAATAACCAGAACGAGTTTCAGTGACAAAATTGATTTAATAAACTGAAGTTGATTAAGAGCACTTGTAAAAACCGTCCATTTCAAAGTTTCTATTACAAATAAACCATACAAATTGTTCACACGTCAAGAAAAATTTTTTAAGAAATATTTGCACACATTCCTTGTGTGCATACACTTAAAAAAAATGTATAATATTTTCTGTTCATTAACAAGTGCACAAATTTAATTAATTAGTTTAAAATAAAATACTACAAACACTTCAAATTTAATATTTTAAATTTTTTAGTTTTATAAAATAGAGAATATAGTTTTGAAAAGAAATATATATGTTAAAATGGTGTCAACAAAATAGTATTCAAAATGTGTGAAGGAAATATATTAATTTTAAAGTCGCTTGAAATTACTGCGGAAAAAAGAGTAACAAGTTATATTCTTTTTAATACGCAAAGACGCCAGCTCATGGAAAACTTGTTATGCAACATTGGTCCAGAATGATCAAACTTTTTTTCGTGTAGTCCGAGTCATGCGAGTTCGACTGTAGTAACTCTGGGTACACACAAACATACCATATGTGTGTATATATTTCTGTAGCTGTGTATCTGTGGCCAGGTACGCCAAACTAAGCACTAACAATGTTGATTCATGACTCTGCCATAGATAGTTTGCCCAGTTTGGGAGCCACTGGCCACTCACCCTGCCGCTTTTTATGCTGCTGCTGCTACTGCTGTTGCTTTTTCTGCTGCCGCTGCTGCTGCACCACAATAAAACAACTACAAATCAAATTTGTTACACCGAAAAAAAAGAGGAGAACAAAACGACGGCGAACCACGTACCAAAAAAGAGACGCCAACGCGTGCGCGCACTTCAAAACAAAAGGCGGAAAACCGAAATCCAGAAACCGACAACACAAAAATAAAAGACACAACGAACGCAATCCGCCGTAGAAAACGGGATGGCGTTAGCTGGGCGGTATGAACGGTATGGGCGGTACGGCCAAAGCGGCGACACTGCGGCGCTGACGCTACGGAAATGTCGACGGTCGCCTCGCAACTGAGGCGGCTCCACCGCCGAGCGGCCGGAGAGGCCCCAAAAACCCGGCTAAAGAGAGAGAGAGAGAGAGAGCGGTACACTAGCTCACTAACTCACACAGAGAAAGAGCGGGAGAGCAGAAGAGTGGGGAACTTGAAGACTAAGACTGATAGTGAGAAGACTGGAGAACCGTAAAGCCGGAGAGCCATGAGCGCCAGAAGCTTCACTGACCGCAAAGTCAAATGCAAAGACACAAATGCCAAGCAGGTACTGCTCTCTATTTGGAAGTAATACAGGTGTGATAATACCAACTACCACGTAAGACCTTATACGATCAGCTTAATGGTTAATAATAAGCTTCAGTCTGATCGATTCCGGTAATTTTACCATAAATAGTTAAAGAAAATCCAATGTATCAATTTTTTAAATCAAAAAGTTAAAATTATAAACAATATTGAGACTATGTGTATAAAATCGAATATTCCCATAAACAGATGACAAAGTAAAATAAAGCTAACAGTGATACCAATTTCAGCTAAGGTATCAAGAAAACTAAAATAAAAAAAAAAATTTTTTTGACATTTCAGATACTGAATGAAATTTGTCCGCAAATCCCTATATACCGGAGTATTAGATGATTACAGAGTATGCAAATATACAAATGCCAAGCATCGGAAGAGAGATGGAGAGAGAGCGATCGAGTTAGACAGTTAGTTAATGAAATGTGAGAGCAGAGTTCCCAATCAGACAGTTAGCTTCAACTTGTTGCTTTAACTGGGCTCCAGTGGCTCTCAAACTGCACAGGTGATCGGGCGATTAGAGGTTTTGGAGCCAGTGTGATCTGGTTTATTAACGGTAAAGCCGATTAAAAATGTTGACAAAACTGTTTTGAATATATTTCTCTTGGTACTAACATCACTTTACTATGTATCGAACCAAAATTCGTCTTTAAGTTTATAAATGTACTCGATCAAGTTTGAAAATTTGTTAATCTCTCTTTATGCAACTAATGACTCAAAAAATGTTAATTCAGACGATTTTGGACTTATCCTTTTAAAACAATTCGTGAACTTACCCAGTCGTGAATCATTCTTCTTTCGCACACGCAGACAGATAGTACAGGATTTAATGCACTGCAGGGAATTCGTGCAAATCGAAAAGAAGAAACATATAGAAATTAGTTAGGGATGGTCAGGATGGACCACTTATATATGAAGATTAGTATCCGTACGTCGTGTATGTGGCGAATGACCTCCGTGCGCGATATATTCTCCAGGGTCAGGCCATTGACCTCGAGTATCTCATCGCCCACTTCCAGATTATCGCGATCGGGCGGTGAGCCGTATAGTTTAATTTTACCCTCCACATTCTCGACGAGTATGATGACATAGCCAGATAGTTCGACAACTTGTTGCTGCAAAGATTAAAGGATAAATAGCTGTTTAAGGACAAATTTAAATTAATATGTCAGATGACAGTGTAAAAGGGTGAGTTTAAATTAGAAAATCATATAAATACTTAAAAAATAAAAAAGTTTTATAATCTCTTGTTTATTAACGATTGCAAAGCTTTGCCAATGGGGCGTATACTTAACGTTTTAATATTCCTTTTGCTTTAAATTATTCTCATTTCCTTCCTTGCTAAACGATTTCTTCATAAACACATTACTACCACTATTCAATCTTTGCTTCTTTTATAATTAACTGGGCGTATACTTAATTTTAAAGGCATACCTCCTCCTTGGAAGGGTTATACAAATAAACACAATATTCCCAACCTAATGTTTAATTCTAAACGATTTATACTCAAAATATTTCATAATATGTAGCTGCTTATAAATTTTAAATAATTACATCCCTTTTGCCACACGGCGTATGCTTAATGCCAAACGATTCCCTTTGCTCACGAAATATTTACCAAGTCCTTGCCAAATGTCTCGCATAAAGTCATTTTCATAACTGCTGCCTAAATGGCAAGAACAACTTATTTATGCTGCGGGATGTGGGTGGTTCTACTACTAAAAAAAAATCAAATTAATTACACAAAAGGATGAAGGACAAAGGCAACACAGCCAGCCTGAAACAGCAAACAGTCCAACTTCAGTTCAAACACCCCCACTTCTGTGAGTGTGCGAGTGTGGGAAGTTTTGGCCATTATTGCTTGGGCTGGCTCGTTATGTTAATTACAACAAATTATGCTCATGCGGCAATTGCGGGGGACTCCTTTCTCCAAGCTCATAGCTTGAAGCCACCCTAGGCGAAAGCCCACATATCCTTGAGCCACCCACCTCCCACAACCGCCCACCGCCCACGCCCTCAAGCGTGTAATCAGTAGGCAGCAGGCCAGTTGGTGGGCGGATTTAGGAGGTGCTCCTGATTGCCCCTCAGTTGCGCCAGCAGTTTGACAGTCACCTTGGCAATCAAGGCCATCCAAAAGCCATCAATCCTTTAGAGAAAGTTTGGGAAGCGCTAAATGACTGCTGCAAATGTTGAAAAATATTTTATATTATATGAGAAGTATAAACTAAGAGTACTGAGTTAACATTCAAATCGGCTGTTGTTCAAGCTCAATGTTTTTAAAAAAGATTATCAGTTCGACAAGAACTAAGAAGAAATTGAAGTGGAATTTTGTTACGATTATAAACGTAAAAAATATTAATTTATAGGGTTCACAAACTAAAAAGCCAGTGTCTAATTCCCTTTTCTTCTGTGGTCTAATATACATAAAGTACAAATAATATAGCCTAGAATCATTGCAATTTAAGTGGTCTTCAGTCAGGAAAGACTATGTACATTTCTTAGGAAATAAATTATTAAAAAATCCCTCAGTGGCGTCTCTCACCATCCCACAAAACCCCGGAATAATTCATTGGCTGTCCCATTTTATTCGGGTAGGTCGGACAAAATGCAATCCACAGCAATTTAAATAAGCTTAAAGTTCATTTCACACAAAAACACAAAATGGAAGAGACACAAAGAGAGCAGCAACAATGGCAACAACGATGCAAGCCACAAAATGCAAACCGAAAATTGGCAAAAAGCACTTGAGAAACATTTAAACCTGCGCCCCCGACACAAAAAAAAATATAAGAACAACAAGTCCGACAAACAGACATTTTAAACAAATACATACAAGTATACCTATACATAAAAATATGTAAATACATGTATATATAGAACAGAACGGAGAGATCTGCAAAAGAGTGCCTAATTACAAAACAAAAGTGAATGTAAAAAAATAAATAATTCGACTCTATTGGGTCACAAAAGTGAATAAGCAGGCGTTGGTGTGGGCGTGACAACGTGGCAGAAACAACCATTGTTGCAAGCGCAGGTCGACAATGGCAATAGCAGCACCAGCGGATCACCGAAAAAAAAATGTCTGTTATTTTACAACATACATTTAAAATGTTATTGTCTTTTTAGAGAAGGACAGTAACTTTAGAAAGCCCCTTAATAAATTCAGTTACCAACATATGCTAAATATAGTATGAATCATAGTTGATTCTGTGATGAATACAATGTTGGAGCAATAGATTTGAATAGTAAGAAAACAATTAACCATATTATTTTCTAGATATTCAGTATATTAACTCTAACTCAAAGAAACCCTCTAATTAAATAGAATCCTTAACCCACAATTTTTTAAATGAATCTTCAATGATTTACCAACACTTTCTTTAAGTTTTAGGATTCTAAATCATTAGAAACCCCTCTAGTTAAATACAATCCCTAACCAACACTTTTTGTGAATGAATCTTAGACAGTTTACCAACACTTTCTTAAGTGTTTAACTGTTTTATCAATAAGCAGTAGGGCAAGGATTAACAGAACTTTCCGTTTATTGATCATACCTATCTGACAATATTTAATTTGGCTATTATTATTACAGCTCCGCAATTCGAGCATGATTTCCACAGTGCAGCAGCAACAACGGGCGACAGGCAAAACACTCAACTGGAAGTGAACTCGAGTTGAGCTGGCAAACGGCCAAAAAGGACACACAAAGGCGGGGGAGGGGGATGGTGACCAGGTGCTAAAAGGACCAAAAGCAGCCGCACACACAAAGCGGCGAATAAACAGGAAGACAACTCGACGTTGCAGCTGGTGGGCCAGAATGGCAAATGGTAAATGGTAAATGGCAAATGGCAGGAATAACCACCAACAATTTCCAACTGTTTGCGACTGTCCCGGCCTCATATTTCACGCCTCTTTCATGTTCGCGTTACTCCTCCGCTTTTTAAATAAACATATATATTTTCTGCGGATTAACGTGGCAGAAAGTCAGGCCAATTGATGAACTGCCATCGTTTGCCAGGACGCGATAGCAAAACAAAAAAAAAACGGCGGAAAAAAGCAAAAAAAAATGTCGGAGGAAAATGTAGGAAACAGCTAGAAAAAAAAAAACAGACGGAAAGGCATGAAAATCAAACCTAAGCTGCATAATTATTGGCGCTTCAACGCCGGATGCAGAAACCATCAGACACCCACACTCACACAAGACACAGGCAGCCATCAAAATACACCAGCGGTAGACATTATAGGACCAAAAAGGCGGTTTCCAAATATCAAAGCCTTTAGAAAAGGTATAGAATTAAATAACTAGTTTAAAAATATAAAAAAATATGATAAACGAAAACACATCACAGAAAGCAAATTTCTAAAATATCTTAAAACTGTTTATACTTTTTGCCTCAGTGTCGAATTTCAGACATTTTTCATAATTTACATATGTCGCGCCCTTGTAAATTTTTTTAAGAATTTAAATAAGTTCATAATATTCTCAACATTTGTGATTCAATCGAATATTTACAGACATATATTATTGGTTGAAATTCTGAGCGTATCTATTGTTTACTATGTGCCGAGGGGTGCATGAAGTTAAAAGCTAGCTGAGGAGACTGACGAGGGCAACTGGCGACATAGACAAACTGGGGCACTTGAGCGGGAGCAACAGCAGCTGTGGCAGTACCGCTCCATCCCCCGACACCCCTCAAGCACCCCCTCATCCCACCCCTCGCCCACACTTTGTCGCACTCGAATGAAAAATGACAGCAATTACGCTTAAATTATGCGTTTGTTTTCATATGAGCGTCCTTGTCAGTTGTTCTTGTTGTTGTACTTCAAGCTCATTTCACACATAGACACATGGCAAGTACAACAGCAACAACAACAAGGGCAATACACACACACACACACACACACACACACACACACACACAGACACACACACAAACAAAGTCTAGGCGACAAGTTTTTCCCTTTGCCCGACTTTTCTTTTTTTTTTCCCCATCTTTCATTCTGTCGTTCATTGTCTCTGCTTTTCTTTTTTTTTTTTTTTTACCTTTTGCTCTGGAAAATGTCCTGAAAACTGCACCGAAATCCAGTCGAGCGTGATTCGATGGCAAAATTTATATATATGAATGAGTACAAACTTTCGCAAGAAAAACTGATTTCCCGATAGCATACCTTTCGGGGTTGATTGAACTACATCAATTTCTTTTAAATCAAGACAAGGCTATGTTATGGGTCAACATGAAAACTTTACTTTGGTGGTCGTTTAGTTGTTATTTTCACTGTTTCGCCCTAATAATACTGGACTTTTAAGTTTGATATTTCTTTAACCTAAAGATGAGTTTTGAATAATATTTCAGAAAACCAATTAGGAATAATAAACATCAAATAACCATTTTGAATGTAGAACAATTCGTTTATCACCACTGCTTTATTGTGTTAATATGATTTAAATTCAAAACTTATGGGCTAAGCCATAAGAAAACTATTAGTGCTTAGAAAAACATTAAAGGACAAATTTTATATTTTTTAAATGACACCGTTTTCCAACACTTATTGATTACAATAAAAAGAGCATTTGCAATTCCTTGTGATCTTGGTTAATTCTCCATTCGCTCCGCTTCTTTGCGCTTGACTGCTAATGACAAAGCCAAGAACAAAATCAGAAACGAAAAAAGCAGGAAAAAGTGGAAAGAAAACAGAGACAAGAGAAGGATGTGCGGCACAAAAGAGACGAAGGCACGTGGGGGGAGGAGAATAAGAAGGAGAAGGCAGAAAGGCGAGAACAAGAACAAAGCACTTGACTTGTCATTTTTGACTTATAAATGGCGAAACAAATCTTTGGATATTGTTTTAAATGATGCACACAAACGCGCACACACACACACTCACACATACACAGACAAACAGCTAATAAGTGGTGAAAAAGGGGCTGTATTTCGGTGAGGGATGTATATTTATGGGGATTTCTCCCAATGGGGTTATGGTTATGCAACAAAGTAACACAAATGATACGCACAATTGTGGCTATTGTTAATGTTATGATTGTTGTTGTTTTTCGCCTTGTTAAAGCTGGTATATTTTCGAGCATATGTCTTACGATGGAGGGTTTTTGGAGGGGCTGGGAGGGGGGTTTTGCAGGGTATAGAGTGGTCCAGCACATGCGCAATTGCAGGCACCGCAATCAGACACTCACCAACACACACACACACACACACACACACATACACACACACACACGCGTGTGCGTTTCTTTATTCCACCTACCAAACAACCTTCACGCTTTTTTTTCCTCCTTTTTTTGCGGCTCTGAATTAAAGGGAATAGAGCAATGGCAAAAAAAAAAAAAAAAGACACACACACACACATGCAACTTAATGAAGCAAAATGTTTCATACTTTTCATTCTTCTGCATCATTTCACAACCACACCCCATACTAATACCACATTACCATTGCCAATGGCCATCACATATAAAAGTTATTTGAAAATTTCATGGCAATTCATGTAAAAAACTTTCTTTGACAGCCGCTGAAAGTAGCTGGCAGCAAAAATATGAGAGAAAGCAGCGCACACACACGCAGATCTACGGCCACAGACGCACCGGCTGATGGACCACGCGGCGTATGCGTTATGCATAAATTTGTATACCAATGTCACAATAACGTCTTTCCCTTCCCGGCCAACGAAAAACTTATCCCAATATTCAGATGCATTAATACACATTAAAAAAGAACTGCAAACTGCAAATGGACTACAAGTTAATTTTAAATCAAATAATAGAAACATTTTAAGTTCTCCAATGGATACAAAATGTATATTTTATCCTAAACTAAAATTAAATTAAATACAAAGATCGTACAATAGAATTAAGAAGTTCAAGCTTTCAATAAAATTGCCTGTATTATTATTCTTTCTTCCTTTTCCCTAGAACCAGAAAAAGAAGGATTAAAATCTGAAAATAGAATTTCAAAGGAAATACATAAATAAAACATTCACAGCAGGGGTGAGACAACTAATCAAATTAAAAATTCCAGCGAAAACGCATTCAAAGAAGCAAACTAACTGCAACAACAAGTAAGGCTAAATTAAATGGTAAACAAAAATAACATCTTTTTAGTGGGTACTCATAAAATTTAAAGGGAAAAATTTTAAGTTATTGCAATTTTGTTGTTACTTTTACTGAAAAGAAGAATTTCCGGTAATAAATAACACAAAGGAAAGACTCGTTAAAAATATATAATAAAAGAATAGCATTTTCAGAGAGACAGAGGAAAAACAGCGTATGAAAAAAGCACTTTTGATCAATAACTAATGTGATTTAATAAAAATGTTTTAAAACTACAAAAATAAAAACTCCTAAAAAAAACTGCCAATATCCTTAGGAGAAAGGATGTTAGGATAACAACAACAAAAAATCTCAGCAGAAGAATGCGATAAAAACACCGATCGAAAAACTATGGAAAAATGTTTTACTTAAAAAAAGGAAGTACAAAAAAACAGAATCTGAACATTCTGCAACTCAGACTTTTTGCTCCGCACAGTTAAGGGCTGTGACAAAAAACCCCGTACAGGTGCTTAGCCCATTTCCCTTCTACCAGTTCACAATTTTGCACCTAGGAAAACGACCAGCAATGAAAATTTTTCCGAAAAAATCCTTGACTACTTTTTTGGGCCCCCCCCAAAGTGGCAGCTGAAAAAAATGGAAAATTAGTGAGAAAAGGACACTACGCCGCTCGTCAGATGGATAAATGGCAGTAATGAAACACGGATGAGATTTTCAACTAAATTTCTGGCCCCGGAAAAGAGGGGTACACTTTTGCAGCGTATTACAAAAAAGGACCTTCTTTCAAGAGCAAATAGTTATTTCAAAATGTGTTGGGCAATGGAACTGGCAAATCATTGCTGAATGAAATCGAAGCGAGCAATTTCACAGAGCAGCAGTTACACGAAGAGCAAAGGTGTTACAAAAAAAAATATTTAAACACTTAAATTTCCACAAAATCTTAGATTTGTTTTTAGGTTACCTGTTGCCATATAAAATAACATAAGCCAGATATTTTCGAAAATATTATCTAGAAAAGTAAAGTAAAGTAAATATAGAAACAAAGAAATAGTCGAACCCTGGATCTTAAAAATCTTAATATAGATATAAATATAACTCTCCTAAAATATGCAAAAATTTAATTTGAAACTTTATTTTAGTAGTATAATTAAATCATGTCATTATTTAAGTTAAAAATATATGCCATGGTTGTTTGTACCTTGAGTGTATTTAAATGTTTTTTGTTTTGTGCTGCCATTTGCACCTGCATGTGTGTGTTTACTTGGTCGCATGTGTATAAGTGTGTGTGTGTGTGTGTGTGTGTGTGTAATAGCCCAAAACGGCAATGTTTAATTAAAAACGATAAAGGACACAACGCCGGCAATGGGCAATGCAAATAAGAGACTGAATGGAATGGGGACGAAACAGGGGGCTTTTAAGGGGGGTATTTCAGTGAAAGGGGGATTTCAGAAGGGGGGCTTGCTACATTCATCAGACGTCGTTCGATTGTCAAGCATCGGATGCAGCAGTGTACCCCAGTTACATTTATGTTCCCCAGAATCCCTTCTCCGCCTCCCTTTTCTTAGCCACCCACGCACACACCAAACAAATTGAAATCGGAAATGTGCACCCCCCTTTGCTCTCAGGACCCCACCACCACCACCACCCATGCGGGCAGTGAGGAAGCAAGCTGACAAATAAAATTTCACTTCAACTGAAAGCCATTTTACCATGGGGAATTCACATTTCGAAATACGAATCTCTTGCCTCAGATCGACTGACTGGGGATACGTTTGAGGGTTATGATGACAGGCAGGCGGATGGGGCCAATATTTATAATTGCACTCAATAAACATTGCATAATTGTAAGGGCCATATTTTCGGGTTGAGGTAAAAACCAACTCAATTTGGCCTGGGCCAAATAAAGATACAATGGAAAAATGGTATTCAAATTGATGGCCACAGGGAAATAAATAAGCCCCGGTTGCAAATTTAATGGAAGAAAGTTGTTGCGAAACATAATATACTCGAATTGACATTTACCAATGAAACCTTGCTTTACTCAACAAATAAAACTGTCAATCATATTTTTGTTTCAAAACTAAAGTGCCCAACATTTACAATGACTTTTCTTCTATTCTTCATAAGATAAAATAAATTTATTTATTTAAATTTAAATATCTAAGTTAATATTTAAATATTTACTTATAGTTTTGGCATGTTTTTAAATTATGATAGTTAAAATCATAATAAAAATTTCGAAAATCGATTAAAACCCATGTTTTAATCTAGACTATTAGATCAATGAGAGGGGTCACAGTTTTGCAAAAATATTGGTTTGTTTCGGATCTCGACATTTTGATAGCCATTATCTTGCATTAAAAAAAAAAATTGAAATCCCATCGAAAACTTAATTTTCTTTTTTAATTTATATGTTGTTCCCATATACTATACTATTGTTCGGAGTGTACTCACTTTGCCCTGGGACGAGGAGATCGTTGAGGCCGACGGCGTGCCCGAGGATTGTGCGCTTAGATTGGAGCGGCTGCTGTTCGCTTGCATCGCGCAAGTCAAGGGCGCCACTTCAAAGGGGGCTCCTGCTCCAGCTCCTGCTGCTCCTGTTCGCCCTTAGCCGGATCCGGATCCTGTTCCTGATCCTGTTCCTCTACCTCAGCTCCTAATCCAACTCCAACTGGCATCAAAGACACGGCACGGGAGGCGGAGAAGGACTCGGATTCGGATTTGGATTCGGAATCGGATGTGGAGACGGTGACGGAACCCAAGCCCAGGTCGCACTGATGCTCATTGCTCCTGCTGTCCAGTGGCCTCAGATTGAAAGCATATCGTCTTTGGATTTCAGCGTAATGTATAACAGGCTATATAGTTGATTTTTGTTTGGCGCTCTTAGTCGAATAGTTCCGCGGTAAGACTTGGTGTTCTGGAAAAATTTAATACACAAGAAGTTCAATTAAACGCCAGATCACTTATTAATCACTTTAAAAGAACTCTTCTGTAAAATGAGACCCAAAAATAAAATAACTTTAAGCTTTTCTTTCTTTCCGATCCGAAGGGACGCTTCCATTATTGCTTTCTCTGTCGCACACTTTTTCAGAGTTGCATTTATTTTTTAAATAATACTAAAAATACCAAAGCAAAGTATGACCGTATTATTAGGGGACTTACGTATATCTCGGGTAATTAAAAATCTTTGAAAACTGTTCAGCATTGTTAATGGTTTGAAATATATTGGAGAAAGCTGAAAAAGGTGTTTTTTGAACAAATAAAAATAGGCCCTATAAATACCCAGCTTTTGGCTCTGAAACAGGTGTTTTAAAATATGAAAAGTTTGATATCCGTTGAGAATTAATCTTCTTTATAATTATCTTTACCCATTAAGAAACTAACTAAATTCAAATACAATTGCTACAAATAAAAACACTACTTTTTGAGAGTTAAAAGAATTTTAAATTAAAGGATGTTTTATTTCCAAATCTTTTTAAGTTTTTGACATTTGGTTCGCATTTAAAGTCTGTGGTTTATTCTTTGTGCTCTTCTTTTTCAGAATATTTGTCTCCCGAATGCTCTTTTTTAGCCCGACTTTGTCTTGAATAAAGTTATTCCTCATTTCTGTAGAGCGGGGAGAAATCAACAGAAAAAAGGAGTCCTACCAGCAGCGCAGTTGCCGCGCAGCAGCAGCGCTAGCAGTTGACTCTGTTTGGCAAAAAATAGGGCTAGGTCATCCACATCGTGTTACCACCACCCCCAATTCCCAAAAAAGAATAAAAAAATACACAGAGAAAAATTACAAAGAGTATTCATTATTAAGTAAGAATTTTGGTAAATCAATTTAGTTTTTTTTTTTTATCCTTTAATCTAATTTTAAAAAGTTTTCTTAAAGAGGTATGAACAAAATTTAAATTGTAAAATTTAAAATAAGTACAACTAATACTTAATATTTTCTGGCAGCTTTTAAAAAGATTTTCATTAACATAAGGTTGCTACGATTTTGTTGTTTAAAGATAGGCTGAAAAGGCTCTTAAGCTAGTTGCTTTTTTGAGAAAATATATAAAGCATTAAAAAATGGGTGCACTTCATCCTTAACGCTTTAAAAATGAATTTCTTAAGTAATAAAATTGGAAACTTAAAAAACACTTTTGCAAAAGGTTTCTAATAACTTTAAATTAAGACGTCCGGTTTGTCTGTGTAAAGTTTTGCATGGGCAAGGACAAAAGCGTAGCAGAATATCCTTTGGATGGCCAAAAAGGATGCTGCAGTCACGCCCATCGAGAAAGGGGCGACAGCAGCATTTCCATGCCAAGGGCAGCAGCTTGGAGCACCCCACTGTCCAACCACCACCCACCACCCCCCGGTTTTTGCCACTTTCACAGCGTTTTTTGGATCCCAAGCACATTTTGCGGCGCAGACATAACCTCAACTTCTTGCGCGCTGCTTACCACGCTGCCAGCGTCGCAGTCGGCGTCGCAGTTACCAGCGGCAGAGGCAGTGGCAGAGGCAGCCATTTTAGAGGCCAGGCAACAGCTTTACATGGATTTATGTCTATATATATGTACATATGTATAAGTATGTGCACATATACATATATGTGTGTTTTAGTGTTCGAATTTGCCAGTGTGTGTGTGCGTGTTTGGAGGCAGCAATCCTATTTTCCCCCGATTTTTCTTTTGGCAAAGGAGAAAATAGTGTCAAGGAAACTATTGAGAGACGGTAAAGAAATTAAATAAGAGATTAAGTAAATTATCAATCATCGAGATCGTGGCCCTTCCAAATTTAGACTTAATTTTCAGTATTCACAGCAAATCAGAAGATACTACAGACTTTCAAATCAGTCGGCTGAAAAATCTACTAAAAAATCAATGGTTTTTCTGAGTTTCTCAGAGTTTTTTTTGTTTTAAAACTATTAAGCATGCGAACATCTTAAAAATTACCGTTATACTAGATTAATTTTTTGGAAGTTTTCCTTTTCGGATTTAAGAACACAGAAAAGTCTCTTTTCTTTGGCAAACAAAATACCATAGAATTTTATATTAAATTCAATTTTAAACCATGTCTTACCTCAGATTTCCTCAGTTGAAGCTTGAAGTTTGATGATTTCTAATCGCTTGATTAGTGATTATTTTAATTAAATTTAATTACTTGATCTATTTTGGCTTTTTGTTGTGCGTTTCGTTTGCCTTAAATTTAACTATATAACAATTTTATTTAATTTTTTGTATTTCTTGTGCGCTTGGGACGCTTTTTGCATCATCGGCTGCTTTACATTATCCCCTTGGCTTTTTTCTATTTTTCCTTTTTTTTTGTATTTTAGCCAGGGATTAAAGAACGGCAAAAAAAAAGTTACCAAAAAAACAACAAGAAAATAGAGACGCACACACACACGCGCGAAATCACACCCACATGGACACACACGTACGCACACACACACACTCACAAACGCGCACGCGGCGGAAAAAAAGAAATTGAGAAATTTTTGGGACAGCGGCAAAAATATTTGAGCGTCTTTGTATTGGATATCGTATTAGAAATTTTTATTTTTTGCCACTTTTTTTACATAATTTGCTGTTTTTTTTTTTAAATACCATTTTTAAATGAAAAGTTCTTGTTACGGTTTTTATTGTGTGTGATTAGTTGCGTTTGCCGTATTTTTAGCCCGTTCCGGAGGATTTATTACGTGCAGTCCGCCCGTGCGCTGCGCACGCCCGCGTCTGCCGCCGATTTTGAATTGCCACGACGTTGCGTTGAAATGTTGCGCGTAACTGAGTGGCACAGCCTCTGCCACAGTCACTGGCTCTGCCACTGCCACTGCCACAGCCACTGCCACTGCCACTGCCACAGCCTCTGCCGCTGCCGAGGATGCTCTCCGGGCGAAGCGAAGCCCAGCGGTACAGGTCCTGGCCCGTAGAGTCCTGCGCCGCTCTGTTCTAGGCTCCGGATCCGGCTCCGGCAAAGGCAACGACAACGACTACGACTACGGCTGCAGATATATGCGATATAGCTAGCTGCCGCAGCTCAGCCCGGTTTGGTTCGGCTCGGCTCAGCTCAGCTGCCAATGCCGAGGCACGAGATGCTTTTGTTGAGGCACAGTGGATGTGTTAATCTTGTCCCAAATTATACATTTTTTTATATAGTTTTTATTTAGAATCTGTCCGCAGATAGGATAATCACTAAATTTTACAGTGCCAAGTTTTTATTAAATTACAAATTAGTTTAAGGAACAGAGTGATTTTAAGGAGGAGAGAGAGAGAGAGAGAGATTCCAAAAGCAGATAATTAAAAATGTTATATATCTTACAAAGGCTTTAAAGTTTATAATATTTAATCATAATAACATTTGGTATTCTTAATAAATGTTTTAAAATATTTTTTGTATAACATTTTAAACACTTTTTTAGCAATCTTAAATTCAGATAATTTTTGATTGTGCTCATAAAACTAACAATCTTATTAGTTTCTTTATCCATTTATCAAAAATAAACAAATTTGAGTTTATATATTTATTTATAGCTTTATATTTATATATAGCTCCTCAAACATTATTTTATTTTAAAAGGAAAGGGCTTGCGTAATAATTTAACATTCCTCAAAATTAATTATTCTATTTTTAGGTTTAACTTTTTTGCTGTTGTGATCGTTAAACTATCATTTAAGTAAGCGACTAATCGATTCCACTGTGCATTGCCGACGCTGGACCAAAAGGATGAGCGGCAGAGCAGCCGCCGAAGGGACTCGAGCGCAGCCGACAGGACAGGAGCGTAGCCGAACGCAAAATTAGTGGCGAGGAGTGGCGGTTGGGGTCTGATTTACAAAACACATGGCATGGAATAGAACAACCCACCCGCCAGCCTCCGTCAACCACCCACCACAACCCACGCAAGGGCGCGTGTTGGGCGCCCGACGAGCTTCACAGTCGCCGAAGGGCAGAGAGCCAGTGGCGCAGGGGTGGGTTTTCGAGGGGGGAACACAGAGAATACACGGGATACACAGCGCTCCGTTCCGTTCCGCGATGCAACAGCAACATCATGTCATCAGGCCGTATCCTCATCGGCAAAACAGCAAAGCACCGAAAGCGGCGGCAGCAGCTGTAACCCCCTTCCATGGATTTCCCCAAGTACTCTGCAAAAAACATGCGCAGCACGAAATCGCTGAAAATCAAATCGAAAAACATATGACAGTGACATTCCATTAGCAACGTGATTTTATATAATAATCACACTATTTTAACTGACAGAGCTCAAAATTATGAAAATTCAAACTTTCTCTTGTCAAAGGAGTAATTATAAACTTTGGAATATAAGTATTAGTCATTACTCAGGTTTGCTTTTTTCAATTTCCGATGCACAGTACGAAATATGTAAATTCACAAGGAAAATACCTTTAAGTTCTTAGTTTGTTCTGCTAAGAATATTTTGTTGAACTTCAGTTGGGTGTGCAAAATTTAAATTTGTATTCAAATAAAATGTTCACTTGAAAAAACTATCGATGTTAGTGTTATCGATTGATTTGAATTTTTTTACTGAGTTAATACGAAATTATATTGACATTTACAAAGAAATGGATAAACAAAATAAATGAAGTGGTTGTGGAAATACGTTTTTGATAGCCATTATTTTTTATTTGATCAATATCAAAATAATGCTAATGATCATTGGATTATTATTAAATACAGCTGAATTTCACCAGTCATATTAAAAAAATAATATATTTTATAAAAAAAAAATATTTGATTAAGAGTATTGTTGTTTTGATTTGATTTTAATATTTTTGGCTTTCTAATTTTTCAAACTTGTATGCAACCCGCCATTTGAGTTATCGAAAAGCAAAAATAACACCCCCAAAACCACAAAAAGGTGCTAGAAAATACCAAAAACGTCATCAAGTTTGTCTGGTATTTTTTAGTATTACCGAAGGGGGAACTAGGGAACTAGCTGCCCGTATCCAGTTCATGAGACCCACTTAAAATAGCCTTTTACTGCAGAATAGACACCCAAAATAGAGAAATATTATTTATAACTACTAATATTTATTAATATGAGAGCCTTAAAGATAACGACAGCTAAAAGAAATTCCACGAACTGGAACCAAAACATTGAAGAGAACCAGAAGAGAAACTAGTTCCTTAGCTGGGTGCAAAGACCAGTTCAATTAAACTAGTTCCGATTTGAACAGTGCAACTCTAGTTTTTTTTTTAATACATATATGTTTTAAAAACATATGCGGAATCGGGCAGATAAAAAAGCATTAACCGATTGCAAAGGATCAAGGATAAGGCGACGTTGACTGCGACTGCGACGCTGACTGCGACAGAGCGACAATGGTGTGCAGTGCGTGTGCGTTTGCGTTTGCGAGTGTGTGTGTTTTGTATCGTGTTGTCTGATTGTGTGTTGTTGCCGTTGCCGTTCTTGTTGCTGTTGTTGTTGTTGTGCGTGTGGTTGACAAACGGACAGTGGGACAAAACGACAGTGGAACAGTGGAGTCAACCAGGAGCAGATTGCAACAACCATCGCCATCGCCAGCAAGTAAGTCAGCCAGCCCCACCCCCCCCTTTCGCGTTTAACTAATATTACTAAACCAACTTTCCTCTTCTTCTTCTTCTTCTTCCTCTTCTGCGTTTGCTTCTTCTTCGATTTCGTTTTATCTCTTTCCCACCCCAGAGAAACAATAGCAAGAAAAGAAAAACAAAAACAAAGACGTCGCAGGGACTTCCATGTCGCCAAGTGTGGGCCTTTGATGCCTCCGAAGGACTCCCGAGGAATCCCCATACAGCCAGGACCACCATGCTCCCCATCAGCGAGGAGCAGCAGCTGCAGCAGCAGCAGCAGCAGCAGTTACAGCAACACCAACTGCATCACCAGCAGATCCCCGAGGATCTGGAGCAAATGGAGCCCCAGGTGGGCGATGGCAGCCTGTGGACCGCCCTCTACGATTACGAGGCCCAGGGCGAGGATGAGCTGACCCTGCGGCGCGGCGAGATCGTGGTGGTCCTGTCCACGGACAGCGAAGTGTCCGGCGATGTGGGCTGGTGGACTGGGAAGATCGGAGATAAGGTAAAAACAAATCCCTTTTGCGACATTAGTCAAGCTTAACCTAAACTAACCCCCTTGCTATCCCAACCAGGTTGGCGTCTTCCCCAAGGACTTTGTCACCGACGAAGATCCACTCCAACTTAATGTCTCCTCCGCCATTGGCGACATCCAGCCGCATGAAATCGAGTACGATGAGATGGACATCAAGGAGGTCATCGGTTCGGGCGGCTTCTGCAAGGTTCATCGCGGCTTCTACGATGGCGAAGAGGTGGCCATCAAGATTGCCCATCAAACGGGCGAGGATGATATGCAACGGATGCGGGACAATGTCCTGCAGGAGGCCAAACTCTTCTGGGCCCTCAAGCACGAGAATATTGCCGCCCTGCGTGGCGTGTGCCTGAACACCAAGCTCTGTCTGGTGATGGAGTACGCCAGAGGTGGCAGCCTAAATCGCATACTGGCCGGCAAGATACCACCCGATGTCCTGGTCAACTGGGCCATTCAGATAGCCCGCGGCATGAACTATCTGCACAACGAGGCGCCCATGTCGATCATCCACCGCGACCTCAAGTCCTCCAATGTCCTGATCTACGAGGCCATCGAGGGCAATCATCTGCAGCAGAAGACGCTCAAGATCACGGACTTTGGTCTGGCCAGGGAGATGTACAACACGCAACGCATGAGCGCGGCGGGCACATATGCCTGGATGCCACCAGAAGTCATTAGCGTTAGCACCTACTCCAAGTAAGTTTCACAAAAGAATAGGGTTAACCAAATCATCTATCAATAGCTTTGATTTTATATAAAGCTGAAAGTAACATTTTCAACTTTAAGGTCAAACAGAGTAAAAATATTTTAATTTTTATATCTAAGATACAAATTGAGTGATAGAATATAAAGAAAACAATCTGTTCCACAGTAGAAATGCTGGCCATATAAGATGGTTAAAATATCAAAAAGTTATCTAGAAATGTCATCCATCTAAGTTTCTTTTGATTAAAAGCTTCAAATAAAGTGTCCATTGCCAAGCAAATTAATTTGATTTCCTCCAAAGCAGTTGCATATTTAACTAACCTTTTTAACCCACAGATCCTCTGATGTTTGGAGCTATGGTGTATTGCTTTGGGAACTGATTACGGGCGAGACGCCCTACAAAGGCTTCGATCCTTTGTCCGTAGCGTACGGCGTGGCTGTCAACACGCTGACCTTGCCCATACCAAAAACCTGCCCAGAGACCTGGGGTGCACTGATGAAAAGTAAGTAGATCTCAGAGCCTTTTTTTGAATTTCATAATATACCGATGATAATGCTGATAACCCACAGGCTGCTGGCAAACGGATCCGCATAAGCGACCTGGCTTCAAGGAGATCCTCAAGCAGCTGGAAAGCATCGCCTGCTCCAAGTTTACGCTGACGCCTCAGGAATCCTTTCACTATATGCAAGAGTGTTGGAAAAAGGAGATCGCCGAGGTGCTCCATGACTTGCGCGAAAAAGAAAAGGTACCATCAGGCTAAGAGAACCTCTGCAAACCGGCAAAACCAATTCCTATTCATGTTAGAGTTGCTCTAGAACCTTTCTAGATCGTTCTTTGTTGGCCCTACGCCTATCCTGTGTTATTTTTCCATTCTCGCTCTCTCTATAATTCGTCCATTTGGTCGTTGATGAAATTCTAATAATTTGGTATATACTTTTTCTCCAAAACATAAAACAAAATTCCTCTGTAATCGAAAAAAAAAACATCAAACGACGTAAAGCGTTTCCAAACCATCGAAGAGGTAAGCGCGTCCAACAGGTTTCACTCTGCCCGCCTTTTGCGTTTCAGTTGCGTTTCAGTTGCGTTTCGTTAAGTTTCGTTCTGTTATGTTACTTTACTTAAGTATACTTTACTGTACTCAATGTTATCCTGTTTTTGGTTTGGCTGGATAACTTCCCACAATAGCCCTCACTCAAGCCAACTGCTGCATGGTTTCTAGTTCCTAGTTAAAGCTATTTCGTAGCACTTGTCCCCCATTAAGACTAAGCTTTACCCACACTAACCCCTCACGTTCCGCCATGTTGTACCCTTTAATCCCGACAGGAATTGCGCAACAAGGAGGAGCAGCTACTTCGGGTGCAGAACGAACAGCGAGAGAAGGCGAACCTCTTGAAAATCCAGGAGCAAATTCTGCACGAGCGTGAAATGGTACTGATTGAACGGGAGCTGGTCATGATGCAGCCGGTGCCATCGAAGCGCAAGCCCAAAAAGGGCAAAAAGGTAACAGAGACTGCCCCATATTTACATGGAACATAAACCCTAAATTTGGAATATTTCGCATGTCTATCATACAGAACAAACCACTGCAGATTGGGCTGCCCACGGGATTCCGGCACACCATTACGGCCGTACGCGACAAGGCGGAGCAGCCGGGATCACCCTCGTTCTCCGGATTGCGCATCGTGGCACGTGAGTACCCATCTTACGGTCGGGAATATCCCCTTCTTCTTGGGCTAATGAGATCATACGATTAGGTTTTAGCAAACACATTAAACTCAAGTCCTACATATGTGTATAGGAATTATCAGATGGCACGATTAGGCTAAGTATTCAGATGAAATGTAAAGTTTCTATGAATTATTGTCGGGTAACGTGCGGTTCAAGACTATTTATTGAAGTAAAAAATAACAAGTTTTTAATTCCTTTAAAATTCTTTATAATAAATTACATATTAAACAATTTCTCAATACACTTAATAGAATGCCTAAGAAGGCTAATAATTTTAAACTTTTAACTAACGTTTTTAAAATTGCAAATGTTTGCTTTGATATACTTAATTGATTTGATCATACGAAATACTGTTATTGACTTTCATTCCTAGTTTTTTTTTTGCCTAGATTTGTGAAACGCACTGTACCCCTAATTAGTTTACATTACGCATGCAGCGGTGCACTTTGCAGTTCTTAGAGATAAGATTAGGCATCCAAAAGGCCTGAGATTAGTCAGTGGGACTAGTCATGCCCCCGGAATGTAGAATACTTTATATCAGCAGCCGGAATATGGCAACTATAAAACCGAATTTCTTGCATATTTATGTTATCTTTAATATATGATTTGATTATCTGTATATTTGATTGATTTGCTTTTCGTTTCTTTTCCCTTATAATTTCCATTTATGTTCCGTATTATTTGGGGCATATGTGCAATACAATGTATATAAATGTGTGTGTATCCAGTGACCGATGGGCACAAGGGCAAGACGTGGGGCCCGTCGACGATGCACCAGCGGGAACGATCCCTACTGCCCTCACAACTGGGCGGCGGTCAGCCGGAATGGCCCGCCCAGACCTCAACCCACTCCTCGTTCAGCAAGAGTGCTCCGAATCTGGACAAGAAGCAACAGCAGCGGCAACAGCATCAGCAACAGGTGGCCTCGCTGACGCCGCCGCCGGGCTTGGGAACTTTGGGTGGATGTGACAGTGGAGGCGTTGGTGGGACAACAACCACGCCCCTGTTGTACCCAGGTATACCCTATTTACTAACGCGTCCCCACAACAACAACAACAACAACATTGGCAGTAGTAAAGCCATCACCACCACCATCACAACCACAACCAACAATACCACCACCACCACCACCTCCACCACCTACAACAACAAAAACAACAACAACAACAGCATCTCCGCCAACAACAACAGCAATCAGCTATATAATAATAGTACTAGTACTAGCAATATCAATATCAATAACAATAATAACAATAACAACAGTCAGACTAACCCGACCTCCCCAACGAACATCGTAGTGGTGCTCCAAAATGGCAGGAGCAACTCGAACAGCAGCACCAGCAGCCATCCAACGCCAGCCAAGCCGTACCATCGCGCCAGGAGTCACGAGTTCGGATTGGACTATGCACCACCACTTTATCTGGTCACGGATGACAGCTCGGAAACGGACACGGTGGCCAGTCCAACCGGTTGCTTTCACTTCCTCAAGTCCAACAACTCATCCAATCAGGCCAGCGGTGCAGTGCATCTGCAGCGATTTGGCGGCAGTCTAGGCAACAGTCCCGCCGTGGGCAGGAAGAAGCACTCGCTGGACAGCAGCAACAACCATCATCATCATCATCATCATCATTATCCGCCCCAGCCAATCAGCAGCAATAGTCTGGCACTGTCGCCCACCCAATTGCCGCTGCCGCCCGCCGAGGATAACAATACGTACGACCATGCCTTCTATCGCGATGTGATCAAGAAGATGTCCATGGCCAGCAGCGAGCGGGTGAACTCCAAGTCCAGTGGTGACCTGACCATGTGCAACTCCAGCACACCGCTGACAACGCTGGCCAGCCGAGATTGCGATGATCACGATGCGGAGGAGGCCTTCGAGGGTGGACGCTTCCAGCGGAATCCCTCCGGATCGCAGTTCCCGCGGCACTGTTTCTTCACAAGGCAAGAGGGCGACGTCGAGGTGGAGGAGGTTGAGGCTGAGGCTGAGCTTGAGATGAACTTGCCGGATGTCGAAGTTGAAGATGATGGTCAAGTGAATGCCAGCCAGATGCGCCAGAATTCCACCACGTCGCGCAAGAGCTCTGTGACCTTCCAGAGCGTCAGTTTCGAGGAGTCCGCACCAACGACCACTGCCCGAACGGATCTCTACACGTCCAGCGCCTCGATAAGCTTCGCCACCTACCGCTCCGCCTCGCCATCGCTCTCGTCGTCCTCGACCAGCGCTTCCGCCTCCGCCTCGATCACCTCATCCGGCGGAGAGGTGATCCAGGGCGAGGCCGGCTATCACATACAGGAGAACTCGATACTGACACCACGTCGTTGGCGCGATGTCCAGCCCCATCCCGATGTGATCAAGATGAAGGAGAACCTGCTGGCCCAGCAGCAGCGTCAGCATAGCAAGAACCAAAAGAAGCAGCGACCCAAGCACATCACCAAATCAAAGTCCGTCGAGGCGCCAGTCGGGGCACAGCATCCACATGTCCATGCTCACCATGCTCAACTTAACCAACATCACTCGGCTGGATCGAGCAAGTTCCGCTCCCTTCTGAATCTGTTCACGCGTTCGCGTAAGAAGTACAGCAAGCTGGCCGAGCACAACCTGGTTGGTGGCTCCGAGTTCAGTGCCATCGATCCCTATCAAACCGATTTGGCCATGGGCGGTAGTAGTCGCGCCCTGAAGCGCAAGGGCAAGAAGCCACAGACGCAATCCTGCGAGCAACTGGAACGATGCTGAAACAGAAACTGAAATGGACGCTCCATATCGAGCGAAACGGACTAAGAGCAATAAGAGCGCTGTGCTGCTGTTGGAGTTTGCCGCCTAAAACCGCCTGAAAACCGCCTGAAAACCGCCTTTAAACCGCCTAATTAGCTCATTGTTTTATATTAAAACTCTAGACTAAGTCAGACGCAGACGATAAGGAACAAGGACTTCCTCTGAGGATTAGCCATATAGCTAGGAGTGCTGCCTAGATTTCCAAAAAATCCCCGTCTAACGAAATCACTAAACAAAAACAAAACTCCCTTTTCCGTTGAAATAACCGAATTGTTCCTAACGAATGCAATATGCAAAATCTACAAAACAGATTTTTCTTAATTAGTCCAGTGATTTTTGGTCAGGGGATGAACCTGAAAAAAGTTACGGAATAATATAGAGAGAGGACGAAGATTTACGGATTAAACGGATAGACTAACGCTGCTTATACGTAGACATCCAAAACCAAACAAAAAAAAAAAAACTCGTGCATGGGCCAATGGCAAATTATTCAACTAAATCATATACATGAATGTGTAACAATTGGATTAACAATAAGTAAACCATATTGCTATATTTAAAACGAGGCGTACATGCGTCCTTACATTACATTACACACACATCTTAGTTGAACTAAGTTCTAGTTGTTTAGGAATTTAAATATTTTTTTTTTGCCTTGCGAAAAGTCTTCTCTTCCCCTTCTCTATGTAAGAGATATATTTTCCAAATTTCCATCACTTTCCGTACTTCGTTTGGCGAAAAACTTAACGAAAAATTTGCTGACGATTTGCGGAACACGCGGGACTCCATTTAATTTATAATTTTTAATTCGACTCCTTTGGTATTTTGAGCACAGTTTTATTTACATTAATTACGCAATTGGGTTTTCCAGCTTATTTATTTATGATTTCTTTTTTTACAAAAGCTCACGAGTAATACAAGCAAAAAAAAATAAAAAACTGTGATCAAAAAACGATGATGAAAAAAAAAGAAATGATAATTTTTTTGTATTATTTTTATTGAAATTTTCAATTGTATATTTATATTGATTTTACAATTTGTTCATTTTACGTTTACTGCTCGATTCGATTTCAATGTACTTTGTATATTAATGTATTTTCCATTTTGGGGCCAAGCCAACCCCAAAAAAAAAAAAAAAAATAAATAAAAAAAAAACAATAAAGAAGAACCAATACCTAGAAACAGAAATCCGACAATAAAACCAACTTAAGAGAATCTGCCGACCAGTTTTGATTGTCTCCCCCAGCCATAAAAGCACAAATAAAAAGCTAATTAACCTTATTAAATTATTAATTATTTTTACATTTTAACTTAAAATTCAAGTGAAAAATTATTTAACTGCAATAGGCAATAGTTATTCAGTTTACCTCTAAAAATATCAATTATAGGTTCATCTTTAAATGTTGTAAATTTGTTGTCAAATTGTAAATTTTTGTATCTTAAATAGTAAAAAAGGGTTATTGTAATAGATTTTTATTTGTGCATAAGTTTAATCCCCTTTCGGACGAACGAACTAAGACTCTTGGTATGCGGTGGTTAAACTTTGGTATTGCCTGCGGTTACTATCCAACTACTCGTCCCCCTCCGATTACCCGACCACCGACCAAATCCCAGCTATCGATCCCCAGCCCTCGAGCCATATTCCGTAACTCAATCATGTCTTCAATCCGCCTTGGAATGCTGCCGGCCATCCAGGATACCAGGGCAACAGCAAGATGGACGACTGGCGCCCGGGGGCCACCAACATGCCCATTATGTCGCCATCGCCATATCTCCTCAGCCGTTTCACCAGCAACGTTCCGCTGCCGACGCTCTACGCCGGCGATTCCGCCCGCAAGCCGAAGCTCTCGGTGATCGAACTGCTGCTCTACAACATGGCCTCCCTGTTGGCCGGAGTGGCGGCCGGATACGATGTACGGATGTCGAACGTGTCGCCAGTGCATCCCACGTTGCTGAGCGAGGTGCCCGCCCTGAAAGCGGCTCCCAAGGCGGTGGTTCCCGTTTCCGTTTCGGAGGAGGTGGAGCCACCTCAAGCGCAGATCCTGGAACTGGAGGTGGACGCGCCATTTAAACAGCAGGAGAGCGAACAGCAGGATCTCCGGGAAAGCACGCCCAGGAAGATGAGCAGCCAGGCGAGGTGAGTGAACTATCAATAGGATGCTTTTAAAATATAATCATTATTTTATTCCTTTTTATCGTTTACCTAAAAATAAAATTCTAAAGCTCATAATACTGATGAGCTTAAATATTTTTCAGTTCATGATCATAATTGACACATTACTTTCAAAGTACTCCAATAAAGAATTATGACTGTCAATTTTTCATGGCTAAAGCTTTATTAATATTTTAAATTTTTTATCGTATATAATATGTATGTACGATTTTTTTTATATTTATTTGGGGCTTTAAATCGTTGAATCATAAGAAAACATATAATTCCTCTTTGTTTACTTTGGTTTATTCCATAAAGAATTTTTTAAAGTATTCAAATATATTTAATAAAAAAAAATTAAATTAAATTGAAACTTTTTGCTTTCGTTTATTTACATGCACTCACTTTTTACTCATAATCATTTGCATTTTTAAAACATTTCGTTACTTTAGTTTAGTTAAGTGTCAGTTAGATAGCCAACTAAGATTTGTTATGTTGGCGATATAAATAAATTATAAATAATAAATACACAATATAAATATGTGGCAATTTTCCTACCCACAGATTTGGTGGCATTGAATCAACGGGAAGCAAATCCCAGCCCACTTCCCTTGCCCGCCGAATCGGCGGCAGTCAGCCGTACTACACGCCCGTGCAGCGGACTCCTCAGCACCAGATGCACCACCACCACCAGCAGCAGCAGCAGCAGCAGCTCCAGCAGCAGCACCACCACCACCACCAGCAGCACCACCAACCCCAGCCAGTTTCATCCGCGGTGGTGACCACAGTGGCTGGCCCCCAACCACCGGCCACCGGAGTGAGCGGCCTCTTCGCCAGCACCCAGCCACCGACGCCATCGCGACGTCGCAAGCTGAGCAACAGCAGCTTCGGCAACCCGAATCCCCAAGCGGATGCCTTCGAGGAGTTCCGTGTGGGCGGTGGCATTGGTCCACCGCCTCTTTATGCGCCAGCCGATTACCTGAGAAACGGACCGAGCTACTCCAACGATGGGGGCAACTACCGGAATGGCTACTTCGGTGAGTTCCTTATGCACACAACAACATGTAAAGCCAACAGAATAATTGTCAATTTATTATTTTTCAAAATGTTCATGTATTTTTTGATTTTTTTTTTTGGGAAATTGAATAGTTTTACGCTTACTTTTTTATCACAGATGATATCGTAACTATCTTTTCAATTAACGAAACATTCCAATTAAAATCCTTACAATCCTATTTTTTGTTTTAAATTTTTTTTATTTTTTTTAAGTTTTGTTTTATTTTAATTTATACTATATTCATGGCAATTACCTATTTTGTATAGGTTATTGTTGTTTTGTACTGTTTTAAAAGGTAATATTCAGAATTACAGATTACTTATTTTTCTGTTTCTCAATTTTTCTGTGTAGTTATATTACCTATTTTTAATATGGCATTTTTAACAATTAAATTGTTGATTTTACATACATATGTTGTTTTTTTTGTGTGAATACATCTGTAGATGCTTTATCTAATACCCCTTTTTTTATAGGCTCCAATTACTTTCCCTACCGGCCGGAGTTGAACTACAGCTACGAACGTGACTGCAAATCGTATCCGGACTATTCCTACGACTATAACCATCGGCTCCCGGATTACTACGACTACCAGTACGAGGCGCCAGTGGTTCCGGTGCCCGTTTCCGTTCCCACAACCGTTCCCTGTCCGGTCAACCAGACCCGCACGCCACCGCCGCGGGTGCCCCAAATGGGCGTGAGTGCGGCCGGACACCGACGCACTCCATCGACCGTTTCCAATAACTCCAACGTTCTGCTGGAGCACGAAGAGCTGCTCTGCTACGATTACAACAATCTGAATTTGAATGCGGACTACGAGAGGGAGCGCGAGCGGGAGCGGGAGCGGGAGCAAGTGCCACCGCCCACGAAGCAGGAACTGTATGCCGGATCGCCCAAGCTGCTGAATCGCCTCATCCACAGTCCGTTGCCCATGACCAAGAGCAAATATGCGACGGCGGCGGTGACGCGACCAGCCAGTCTGCCCTTCGAGCAGCATGCTCTTTCGCTGGGCTACCAGCAGCCGGCAACTGGGGGCGTTTCACTACCACCACCACCACCACTGGCTGGCCAGTCCAAGCTGCGCAGCTCGTTGAAGAAGTACAATGGTGGGGGCAATGGTTCCACATCCTCGCAGCAAGGCACACCCACAAATCCCACGCCACCGGATTCGCTGACCAGCGACGATAGCTCCTATCTGAGTGCCAAAGAGGGTTCCATTGGCTCCCAGCACAGCCGGGTGCGATTCAGTCCGGAGGCCTATTTGGATGCCAATCCTCTGCCCACATTGGGACGCCGCATGACGGCTCCGGCGATGCAGTTGCCCCAGCAGCAACAGCAGAGACGACAGGCCTCCAGCGGTAGCACACCATCGCCATCGGCATCCTCCTCCTAGCAGACGCGACTGGCGCTGACCCTCCAGTTGGCGCGCAGTCCCGGAGCGGACATCGGAAGCGGTAGCGGTAGCGGTAGCGGAAGCGGAGGCATCGGAGGAGCAGCTGGACTGGCTTTGCATCAGCAGCGGGTGCCCTATCGCTGGTACTCCGGAGCGAGGCGATCTCGATCGGCCCACTATGAGTACCGCCTGTGAAAGAGCAGGACAGGCTCAAACATACAAGTGAAAAAGAAGGGGATGCAAATAGAAGATGGCCGAGATCGGAGGAGCAGTTGGAAATCCAGAAAAACAAGGGAAAAAAAGTGGATATGCAGAAAAACCGAAGGAATCGGGCAGAAACAAATGGATTTGCTTAAAAAAAAATATATGAAATCTGGAGGATAAGCCAGTGGATCTGCAGAAGAACTAAGGAGAAGCATCAACTGGAAGCTTCAATAAAAAGCCAAGGAATCAGGTTGAGCAAAAAGTGAAACTGCGGAAATACTACGGACTCAGCTGGAAAAATAATTGGATTGGCGGAAAACCACAAAAGTAGACGAAGGAGCCCAAAGATCGAGAAGAGAAACATGTATTTAAATCGAAGGAGGTTTCATAACCACTAAAATCGTCAGAAGAAAAATGCAAACAAATCCATAAAGCTACATTTATGGGCAAACATTTGAGTAAAAGCAATACAACTCAAATCACAAAGCTACTTTCAATTTAAAAGTCATCTTCAGAAGTAAAAGAAGCAATTAAAAAACATAAAATAAGATAGCTGCATACAAAAAACAAACAAAATTCGCAAGCTGAATATATATACATATAAAAAAAAGGTCGAAAAACACCAGAGAAATCAAATGGTTTTCAGGAAGAATCAGAACATGCATATATCAAATGGAACCGAACGAAGGGAAACCAGCGGAGGAAAAACCAAAAACATTTTGAGCAGCATCAACAGAGGAGCGTGTTTTTTACCTCAGATCAAAATCAAGATCTTGTAGAACTTGAAATCAAAGCAGCTGTATATAAACGTAGTTGACAATTTGTTCACAAGCAAGTAATATATATATATATATATATATATATATATATGAAATTTAATGTTAATACTACTCAATAGATAGACAGAAAAACATATGCATAATATATCATCGGGGTGTTCCTAAGACATTTGAAGATTTCCGGAGATCTTTTTCTGTTCTCATTCAATTGATGACAGTGTTATACCTCAAAGAATCTTTTTTGGAACTCAACTTCTGGGGAATACGAAATCTGCAGAAGTTTTGGAAACACACCGCCCGACATACACACACCCTCTTCCTTAGCTACCCTCTAAACACAACCCCCAACTTGCGCGATTTGCCTTAAAAGTAGAGTGAAGACTTCACTAGTTTTGCCTGATGCCGGATTCCAAAACAAAAAAAAGAAAACCACTCATCGTAACGAATCCCAATCCCTCGTATAAGATTAACGATAAAACGATTCAACTGATGAACAAACAGTTTGATATAGCTAATATACTCCCATTTATGTATTATATTATATATAACTATATAGACGAAGGCCTCCAATTGCGTTCTCCGATTCAGATTAAGTGCAGCCAGCTAGCAAGCCATCAATAACAAACAAAAAACAACAATAATAATAATAATAATAATAATTAGTAATACTTTGTAATTCCGAGGACACCACATCCCAATCAAGACACACGCCAGCCGTAAGCTCCATTTTTAAGTCTGACAAAATGTTTATATATTCATATATATATTTATAGACACTTAGATATAGACCGATATAGATGCGTTAACCCAAACCACTAGCTCTGAATTGAATAACAGTATAACTCGATCGATTTACAACTACTTATAATGGATATATACGAGTATATATTATATACATACACACATATATATATATAAATATATATATATATATATAATATATGTAACAAAGCATATTGCTGCTGTTTTTTCCAAATAATGAATAGCTATCTATGATAATGATATAATGGCGAAGAATTTGACTATCTTTACATATATGCCAAGTACATAGATACTGCTACTAAAATGCTTATTATGTAACCGATTATGTAATCATGTTTATTATCGAGTTGTTTTAAAAATCTTTAGAGATTTAATTAAAGCTATATAAAAGGTTTTTATTTCTCTAAAAAAAATTAAGTTTATCATTAAAGATTTGGATACATTTCTCCATTTATTTATTTGTTTTTAAATATCTGATTAAATAGTTATTTTTGGCCTTTAACTTTATGTTTTTTAAGCTATTTAAAGGTTTTTTTCTCAAGAAACATTTCAAATTTATTCCGTAAAATCTTAATTAAAGTTTATGTTTGAGTGCCTGAAAAAATAGTTTTTCCTTATCATTAATTTTATGAAACTTTTTTAAACCTTTATAAAACCTTTAAAATCTCTAGAAATTTCTTAAATCACCTCGGATAATGTGTAATCTAATCGCAGCCTGCACAAATAGCATTCTTCGACTTTCGAAGAGCTTTGATTACCAATTTAGTTACTCGACGACTTGTTTGCCATGCGAACAACAAACACGTACTCTAGGCCATATATTTGATTGATTTTGGGCGGGTGGCCGATAGACCGCCCCTCATGCATATATTTACCAATTAATAACTATAATTTAGACAAATTGTTGTTAATGCTCACACACAGCCGAAGTTAACCAAAAATCACGAACCAGAAACGCAAAACAGAAACAGAAATCGAAAACAAAAATCGAAACATATAGCCAACTACTCATCTGCCCAAAACAGTTAACCTTTACATTTACCTACTAGCTTAATTGCATTTGCCTGCATTATTTATTAATTAGTGAGGGTTCGAGTTCTTAAGTTTGTTTTGTATTTGCTTAATTTGCTTAATTGCCTTGAATCAGCAAGGGGTACAAAAATGAAGTGGGTGGGAATGGGATGGGATGGGATGGGAGGGGACGGGGGGTAAAGTTGGTTTAAACGAGGCGAACTCACAAATATGCAATAACAAAATGCTGCTTGTGACTTATGTTATGTACAAATTAGCAATTAACAATTGACGATTCATTTAAATCATTCAGAGACCAAAATGCGAAAATAAAAACTATTTTTTATAGAAAACAAAAAGTGGTAAACGTTTCTTTTAATTGGAGTGCCTATAAAAGGGGCTTTTCACGTTTTCGTAGGCCTCAAAAGTGTCTTGACCATGAAGGCGACCGGTCAAAAGGTAAAGCAAGTAAAAGTGGAGGAGGTGAAGGTGAAGGAGGAGGAGGAGGAGCTGCCCGAATCCCGGCGGGCCTTTAGGAATCTCTTCAACTGCTTCTATGCCCTGGGCATGCAGGCTCCGGATGGCAGTCTTCCCACGCGGAGCACCACCTGGAGGCGCATCTATCGGGGATTCGCGGTGATCATGTACGTGTGGCAGTTGCTGCTGGTGCCCACCTGCTTTGTGATCAGCTATCGGTACATGGGCGGCATGGAAATCACCCAGGTGCTGACCTCCGCCCAGGTGGCCATCAATGCAGTCATTCTGCCCGCCAAGATTGCGGCTCTGGCCTGGAATTTGCCCCTGTTGCGGCGGGCGGAGCAGCACCTGGCCACCTTGGATGCCAGGTGCCGGGATGAGGAGGAGTTCCAGCTGATCCTGGATGCGGTGAGGTTCTGCAATCGACTGGTCTGGTTCTACCAGATCTGCTACGCCATCTACTCCTCCTCGACCTTCGTTTGCGCCTTCCTGCTGGGTCAGCCGCCATATGCCCTATACCTGCCCGGCCTGGATTGGCAGCGCTCCCAGCTGCAATTCTGCATCCAGGCCTGGATCGAGTTCCTCATCATGAACTGGACGTGCCTGCACCAGGCCAGCGACGACGTCTACGCTGTGATCTATCTGTATGTGATGCGGACGCAGGTGCAATTGCTGGCCAGGCGGGTGCAAAACTTGGGCAGGGATGCCGCCAAGGGTCGGGATGAGATATGTCCCGACGAACGCCGGCAGGCGGAGCACTGTGCCGAGCTGCAGCGGTGCATTGTCGACCACCAGACGATGCTGCAGCTGCTCGGCTGCATCAGTCCGGTCATCTCGAGGACCATTTTCGTTCAGTTTCTGATCACCGCCGCCATCATGGGCACCACCATGATTAACATCTTCATATTCGCGAATACGAACACCAAGGTCGCATCGATCATATACCTGATGGCCGTGACCCTGCAGACGGCGCCGTGCTGCTACCAGGCCACCTCGCTGATGCTGGACAACGAGAAGCTGGCCCTGGCCATCTTCCAGTGCCAGTGGCTGGGCCAGAGCCCCCGGTTCCGCAAGATGCTCCTCTACTACCTACATCGCGCCCAGCAGCCCATCACTCTCACGGCCATGAAACTGTTTCCCATCAATCTGGCCACCTACTTCAGTGTAAGTACAGAAAAAAAAAACACCAATATATACTACACAACGATGTGTCGTAGAAACAAAATTACAGCCAAAGTTGACAAGATAGAGATTTATGACCTGAAGAAGACCCCTTTGGTTTTCCAATCTCCAGCCACATACCAAATTTCATATCAATCGGTCGTATGTTGTAGTTTCTGTAGAGATTTTTAGTTGACTTCTTTATATTACGAATAAGAACATCGCCAAAAAGTATGCAACAAATGTAAAAAAGTAAAGATTACGAGGAGAGTACAGGAAAATTGCAAAAATTTAAAACAATTAAATAAACATTTCCTTTTACTGACTTGTTTGTAATAATAATTTATAAATAAACTTATAAAATTTAGCAAGGAAATAAACTTTGATTTATGTGTACAATAACTTCTAGTGTCTTGTAAATCTATAATTAAAGTTTACAAGTCACTTTAACGAAGTGAGTAAAAATTTAACAATCTAAGAAAATGGGTAGTAGTGTTCTATGTTAAAATCCCATTATATCATATTCTTTTTAATACCAATAAATTATAACTATTTTTCATCGTTGCCGAATCATCCCGTATTATAGTAGTAATCTTTTCTGCATTTTTTTAGATCGCTAAATTCTCCTTCTCGCTCTACACGCTTATCAAGGGGATGAATCTCGGCGAGCGATTTACCAAGACAAATTGAAAAACTATAGCTTAAAAAGCACTGAGAAAAATAGGCGATTAAATTGAATTTAATTCAAAACTGCTTATTTCGCAACGAATAGATTTAGGATGCTCCTTTTACACGGAAGTCAAACACCAAATGTCGATTATTTTTTATTTAAATGGTTATGTTGCTTCTAATGTATGAAAATGAATTATTTAGTAGTGGTTCACACTCTACAACTTGTCATAACATTGTTGACTTTATGAGACACAATAAATAAACACACAAAATGTGCCAACCAAGTAATGTTTTTTTTCCTGTGTATCACTCTCTTAAGCTCTAACCGATTCCAAATTCCAAGTGAAATCGATAATGATCGCTAATCGGGCAGAACAGAAGCCTGCTAACCACTGGATCACGATGCTGCACCTTCCATTCCCACATCTCACATCCCACTTCCCATCCCTTGCCCACTTCTATTTGGGCGCCCAGGGCGAAGCACCTGCCACGAGAGGATGCACCTCCATTGCCATTGCCATCTCCATCTTCAGATTCACCCCTCCAGCATCTCCTCGCCACCGATTCTTGCCCCAAATCGAAGTGGTGCCACACTTTGTAGTGCTTTACCGTTGGCCTGATCGCACTGAGAAATTTGTCTAACTAGACAAAAGAATTTATTATTTATTTAAATTCAAAATAAATATCATATTTTATTATAAATTTCTATCAAAAAGTACAATTATTTGAATTATAAAAAGATAATCTTTAAATTTCTGCGTTATTTTTCAGAAAGTTATAAGAAGTATATTTTAAAGATGGAATAAAAGTAATTTATTCTAAATGAATCTGACAAAAAGATATTTAAACTTTTGCCTTTCGAAGTACTACAAAAAACAAATGTTTATTTAAAAAAGGATTTATATTTTCATTTCTATTTATTTATAATGTAATTTATATAATATTTGCTGTTGATTTACTAACTGTTTCACCTAACACTGTTTAAAGTTTAAACATTGTTTTACAAATTGGAATTGATATTAGAATTTTCTCTGTGCATTCAGTGGCCAAAGTGGAAAAGTGGAATGGAAAGGCGGCTTTCGGAGTCTGGTTCTCGAATTCTGGGCAGGCTGGGGAGATCTTTCAAGTTGGCCAAATGTTCTTCTGCTCTCGAGCCGACAGGTTCTGTTTTCTTTTTCGGTCCGGCGCGAAGTTTTCTCGTCTTGCGGATCGGATGCGCCACCCGTTGTAAAGTGTGTGATTATTGTTTTTATGTTCTGTGTCCCAGTAAGTGATTGTGTTTCGGCTCCTGCTTTGGTGTCCATAACGATCATCTTTCAGAAGGGTAAGTGTGGGCTATTTACAAGTATTATGTTTGGAACAACACAACAGACATTTGCATCCCAGATCCAGCAGATCCAGTTTTGGCTGCTGCTCTTGGACTTGGCCTTCGCCTATTTTCACTTAGTGGGCCAACAGGTTTTCCTTTTGGCATGTGCCACATTCGCTGAAAGTAAACCACAAAAACAAAAAAAAAGTAAAATAATGGGCACGCAAAGGAAAACACTTGTACACTCATACGAAAAGTAGAACACATTTAAATTATAATACAACAATTGGGAAATTTTCAACTATTTACCAAGACGAACAAACAAACAAACAAACAAACAATTACAATAATTTATTAAGTGATTTAATTTTGGATCTTAAAAATAAATCATTTTGATAATTTAATTTCAAAATATAGGGATTAGGATATAAGTAAAACTGATATGATAATATTAAGGTATGTATAACCTAATATCAGTGTAACTAAATTTTGCGAAATAATGACTCATTTGATTTTAAAATTTTGA